AAAGCCACAAGATCTAGACCCGAAGCCATAACCCTGGTCCGAGACGGCCTCCAGGACTCACAAAACTTGCCCGGGCGTGTCCACCACCACATACCCTCCACGCAAACTCCGAGTCTGGCACACAAAATGCCACCGCCAACGGAGGTCCGACCGTCCCAACTCCAGTGGAAGCTGAAAAATGAGAAGACCAAGGCCGAGCCACCACCACTGACAGCCACGAACGCTCGCAGCGACCGCCGGATCCTGTGCCTGGCACTCCCCGCCTCGAGCTCACCCGCCATGGCACTCAGGTCCAAGAGCGGGACCACTTACAAGAAGGGAGAAACGAGCGACACCACGCCCGCGCCGCTAAGCTTGGACCGAGCCTCGTGCTCGTTGGGATCGGACGAGATGGGACCGCCTAAAGGGAGAATCTCCTGAAAGACGAGAGACTAAGGCTTGTCGAAGAGAAAATTGAGGATTTCCTCCATTTTTAGAGAGAGAAGGAGCAGTAGGTGTCATCGTTGTCTATCAAACATCTAAGAGCAACTCCAACGCTGTGTTGGAGTTGCGTATTACTCTAAAGTAGCGCAAGATTTACTCACTAGTTCCATGCCAGATTTCAACGCTATATCAGATAAATGAATAGTGCTGCGCCAGAAATGGCGCAGCATTGTACAATTTTTTTTTTTCTTTTTTTTTTTAAATTTTAATGTGATATTGATGACAAATTTCTATATAATTTGTATTAATAAATATTTTTTTATGCTAAATAACTTTGTGCAATGTATTTTTATGCAAAGTACTTTTTTATTTATTTGATGTGTTATAATTTTATTTTATCATTTTTTTAATATTAAAATGGTATCATATGAATAAAATTTGAACACATTCAAAAAAGTAGATTTCATTAAAAATTAAAAGTTTTACACCAAACGTAGATCATAAAAATAAATAAAATATATTTTTATTATTATGGTAATAAATATTTATATAAGATTAAATTAACATATATATATATATATATCAATTTAATTAAACGAGTAAAAAAATAATATATTTGATATGAAGTAAAATGTAGAGATAAGAATAGACATTTATTTCACTCTTTTCTATATTAGAGTAAAGTTCGCACTATAATAGAAATAAGGACTAGAAATGACCTAAGTTCATCAGTTGCACTACCGTGTGCCTTGGCACACCTAGCTAGGTGTGCCAAGGCACAATTGCACGCGCCTTTCACTCCCTAAAACTAGAGAAATTAGGAGAGTGTAGTGGACATCCCCAATTTTTTATTTTTAATTGAAAAATAAGACATAATACATAAATTAAAATATCATTAATTATTTATATTAAAAAAATTAAATAAAAATACCAAAATTCATAATTTTTCATTATCTATAAATAGAGACCACATTTGATAGGTTTTTGAACACAACTAATTTTTCGTTTTATAATATGTTCACCTTATTGTGTATGTAACATGTTCATCTTATTCTATAACATGTTCATTTTATTATGTAACATGTTCATCTTATTCTATAACATGTTCATTTTATTAATGTAACATGTGTTGGTGTTATATACTTAAGCTTTGCTTTAGTGGATATTTCACTTGTTATT